GTGATGTATCACATTTACTGATTTGCATATATTGAACCATCCCTGCATGCCTGGGATGAATCCCACTTGATCATGGTGGATAATCTTTTTAATGTATTGCTGGATGCTGTTTGCCAATATTTTGTTGAGGATTTTAGCATCTATGTTCATCAGCGAAATTGGGCTGTAGTTTTCTTTCTTTGTAGAGTCTTTTTCTGGTTTTGGGATCAGGGTGATGCTGGCCTCATAGAAAGAGTCTGGGAGTCTTCCCTCCTCTTGGATTTTCTGTAATAGTCTGAGAAGGACAGGGGTTAGCTTGTCCTTAAGTGATTAAATTAATTAAATTTGAAATTAATTAATTATTAGTTTATTATAAATAATAAATTATTTATTGATGATAATTAAAAATTAATTTTTAAGTTTTTGAGGAAACTCCATACTGTTTTCCATAGTGGTTGCACCAGTCTGTGTTCCCATCCCCAGCTCATGAGGGTTCTCTTTTCTCCACACCTTGCCATCACTTGTTCATTGATTTATTGATGATTGCCATTCTTACTGGTGTGAGGTAAGAAGGGTGAACCTGCTCTTAATGGACGATAACATCATCTGGTGCCTCTGTGATTCTTTTCTGTGTAGTGCCCAGTATTCAGTCTGACATTAGTAGTCTTGTGAAGGCAGAGAACTATATGATCAACTAAGAGAAAAATCATTTTAGAAGCAGACTCTCAGATGATTCCAGTATTGGAGTTAGCATATAAGCAGTTTAAAATAATTAAGATTTATAACTTAACCACTCACACCCACTAGGATAGCTAAAATTAAAAATATGTTAACAACAAAAAAAGGTCTTAGCAAGTGTTGGTGAGGATGTGGAGACACTGTAATCATACACAGTTGATGTGCAGCAATTTTGGAAACAGTTTGATATTTCCTCAAGAAGTTAAATGTAGCCATTTCAGGAATATGACACTGAAAACAAAAAAGTAAGTCCCTGCCCCTGCCAAAACTACAACCAAAACAAATGCTTTGAAGTCAAGGAAAGCAGTGTTAAGGCATTCACAGCCACAAGAAAGATCTGCACATAATCTGCCTTCCAACAGCTGGACACTGTGGCTCAGAAGGCAGCCTAAATATCCTCAGAAGAGCAACCCCAAGAGAACTATGTCTGACTACTATGCCATCATCAAGTTCCCTCTGTCTACTGAGTCAGCCATGAAAAAGATAGAAGACAGCACTACACTTGTGTTCACAGTGCATGTCAAGGCCAACAACCACCATATCAAACAGGCTGTGAATTAGCTCTGTGACATTGATGTAGCCATGGTTAACACCCTGATGAGACCTGATGGAGAGCAGAAGGCATACTGGCTCCTATGATGCTTTAGACATTACCAATAAAATTGGGATCATCTACACTGAGTCCGGCAGGCTAATTCTAAATATAAATATTTAACACTAAAAAAAAAAAAGTTAAATGTTGAGTTACCATATAACACAGCAGTTCTACCTTGGGTATATTCCCAAGAGAAATGAAAATATACATCCACTCAAAAACTTGTACTTACTATGAATGTTTATAGCAGTATTATTCTTAATAACCAAAAATTAGGAACAACCCAGGTGCCTATTATCTGATGAATGGATAGCAAAAGATGATGTATCCCCTTGCTGGTGGGGTAGCTTATTTGTTTCGAATGTTGGCCCCATACCTCAAAGTTGTAGGTTCAATTCCTGATCAGGGGACATGCAGGAATCAACCAATGAACGCATAAATAAGTAGAACAGTGAATCGGTGTTTCTCTCTTTCTTTCTCTCTCTCTCTCTCCTTTTCTTCCTTTCTCTCTCTAAAAATTAATTTAAAAAGGAAAAAAAAAAGGATGTATCCCTGCAACGAATTATTACTCAGCCATTAGAAGGAATGAAATTCTGATACATGCTATAACATGAATGAAACCTTAAGAATATTATTGAACAAAATAAGGTGGGCACAAAAGGAGAAATTTTGTATGATTCCACTTATATGAGGTATCCAGAATAGTCAAATTCATTGATAGAAAAAGTAGAGTAGACTTACCAAGGACTGGGAGGGGGGTGAGAAGTTATTGTTTAATGAGTTTAGGGTTTCTGTTTAGGTAATGAGAAAGTTCTGGACATAGGTAATGGTGGTATTTACAGAACATTTGTGAATGTACTTAATGCCACTGACTTTTACACTTAAAAATAGTTAAAATGCTTAATAGATTTTTTTAAAGCTTTTATATATTTATTTTTTAGAGAGGGAAGGGAGGGAGAAAGAGAGGGAGAAAAACACCAGTGTACAAGAAATACATTGATTGGTTGCCTCTCGCACACCGCCAACTGGGGACCTGGCCCGCAACCCAGGGATGTGCCCTGACTGGCAATCAAACTGGCGACCTTTTGGTTCACAGGCTGGCACTCAGTCCTCTGAGCCACAGCATCCAGGACACTTAATATTCTTTTTACCACAATACAAAGATAAATATTTTTAGAAAGGAATGAACTACTAACACATGCTATGATATAGATGAATCTTAAAAACATTATGCTAAGTAAAAGAAGTCATTCACAAAAGGCCACATATTGTATGATTCTATCCATATGAGATGTCCAGAATAAGAAAATCCACCGAGACACAAAGTATAGATTAGTTGTGGTCAGGGGTTTTGAGGAAGGGATAGGTGCAGAATGGGGTATAACTGCTAATGGGTATGGGGTTTCTTTTTGAAGTAATGAAAATGTTTGAAAATTTTATGATGATAGTTCTACAGCCTTGTGAATATTCTTAAAAGACATTGAATTGTACATTTTAAGTGGGTAAATTATATTGTATGTGGATTATAGCTCAATAATAATCTTGAATAGGTAATAAGTATTAATCTTAATGAACAAATAGGTGGAAAGCTTTACCTGAAAAAAGGTAAAATATCTATAACAATATAATTGGAATTGTAGAAAATGGAAAGGGGAACATAAGCAATAACTGAAGAGCTATTGACCAAAATTTTCAAAAATTGTTAAAGATACCAACTCTTAAATTCAAACATCTCTTTAATCCTATGCAGGGTAGATACAAATGGGTACATCATAGTAAAAAAAGACCGTCTAAAGACAAAAAAACTAAAACAGCCAGAAGAGGAAAGTGACACACCTTCCTTCAAAGTAACAACAACAAAAGATTGACAACTGTCTTCTCAACAGGTTGAACTAGAGGGAGGGAGATAGACCACTGCAGTTATTACAGTAGTTCACGTAGGAGCTAGTCATTGGCAGTGTGAACAGATTGGAAGATATGGATAGATTCTTGTGAAGTAAGTTAGTGGACTTCATACTGGCATATGTCTACCTTGAGAGATACTGAAAGATTTTCCTAGAATATACCAGTTTGTGGATACTTTTAAGGAACTCAGTTTCTAAATCCTCAACTTACACATTTATTCTTTTTCTAAAATTGAACTCTCTGGTGAAAGTATCATAGCAATTTCTCCTCCTCATTTCTCCTTTCTACAACTGTTCTTTACAAAAAAAAGAAAAAAAAGATTTTATTTATTTTTAGAAAGGGGAAGGGAAGGAGAAAGAGAGAAACATCAGTGTGTGGTTGCCTCTCATGCACCCGCTACTTGGGGCCTGGCCTGCAACCCAGGCATGGGCCTTGACAGGGAATCAAACCTGCGGCACTTTGGTTCACAGACCAGCAGGCACTCAGTCCACTGAGCCACACCCGCCAGGGCCTTTCTACAAAATTTCTTATTTTGCAGAGAAAAGCATACCTCCCTTCATCCTTACTATGGTATATTCCATTGGAATATAAAAAACCTCCAAGCTGCATAAGAAAGCAGTATTTTGAAACATTGGTATTGACGTACAGAAAGTGAATTTCAGTGACTTGTTATCAGATTCTTTTGTAAGTCAGATTGTTTTCATTTCTTTGCTTTCAACACAATTAATGGCTAATTTGATGCATTATTAAAAACTCTTTTGTTAGATCATCATGTATTTTTTTTAGCAAATAACTCAGAAGGTGCTCAATGAATTGAATAACATACTAAGAAAAACTTCTTTCAGTTCTACCTACTTACATAAGTAAGATTTTTGAGGGCAAAGACCCTCGTAAGTTTATAAAAATAAAAAGAAGAAACAAAATTGTGATTTCTGGATTCGTAATTGGCAGGGAGAAAAGCTTTATCCCCCTCATTAAGAGTGGACACATACAATAAAATTTTTCTTATTAACATGTTTTTTATATACCGTATAATTATGTTGTTTCTGGTAAGTTGTATACTTACACTAATTTGGATAACTCAATTCTGGTAAAATAACACTTGAATTTTATATACAGAAGAAATTTTAAAATCTTGAATGCACATATATAATTTAAAGAAGTAGGATAAAGAAGAAATAAAAACTTTAAAGCATAAAGATAAAATACATTGGTTTTAAAATTTTGAGAAAGTAAAAGATAAAGTTCTTAAGAAAAGCTTGTTTGCAGTTTTTTAAAATGGATGATAATATCACATCACTGTGGAATTTAGGTTACATTGAAAACATTTCAGAGAGTGAAGGGACAGTTTGATGTTAACATATTAGTAATGGAAAGTTTTAAATTAACAAATATTCACAGATTTACACAATGCATACAGATGATGTATTGTAGAATTGTACATTTAAAACAATTTTATTAACCAATGTTACCCCAATAAATTTATTAATTTTTTAAAAATTTTAAAGTATTTTAGCCACTGTATGAATAAAGTCTTTTAACAGTCATTGGCGAGGCCACCGCTAGAGTGAGGCAAGGAGGCACCTATGGTACAAAATTTAAGGTCTCTCATTCTCAGAGAACCTAAGAGTGAGTGCGTCCTTAAATTGTACGCCTGAAGTGTCTTTTTGGTCACCCTAGTCTCAGCCCTGATCACTGGATTACTACAATATAAGGAATTTGTGGAAAATTGGCTTTAGAAAAAATATTTGCAGATATCAATCATTTTTTATTTGCTTTTTAGGGTAGGATTAAAAACTCAACCTGAATCAAAATGCCCCGAGCTGCTTGCCAATTACTGTGACATGTTGCTAAGAAAAACACCATTGAGCAAAAAACTAACCTCTGAGGAGATTGAAGCAAAACTTAAAGAAGTGGTACATAATTTCTTTTTATTTTAAAAATTCTTAATGATCTTACTTTGAATTTGTATTTTACTTATAAGATGTTATATGATAGCATCAATTTTTTAAAAATGTGTGTATGTAAGCAACTAATAAATTTTACAATACAGGATGGCTATAGGGTAGTCTTTTTTTCTTCCTGAAAATTTTTATTCTATAGCTTCCAAAAAGGGTAATAGCATTTAATTCTTCCCCTTTGTTGATTCTTTTTAGATAATTAAATTACAGCCAGCACCTATTAAAGGTTTAAAAAAAAAAAGGTGAGGGGAGTCATGCTGATGGCGATGGGATGATTGTTGAGAGATGGGGAGTTTTTCACTTCTTTCTTTTTGTGTAAGTCCAAAATAGGCCATTGAAAATCAGTGAGTGTAAATAAACAATTGCTTTTATTTTTGTTTTTTCCCTGGTTGTTAAGGTAATGTACTGTAAGTCCAGGAACACAAAAAAAGAAAATAATAAGTAAAGATATAGAGAGAGTATAAACAAAAAGACCTAGAGACGTTAGTGTCAGAAAAAAAAAATTGTAGAAAATTGGAAAGAATCATTGCTTTTTGTGTAAAGTGTGTTTTTTTTTATCATCCTGTAAAGTTTTATCACGTTTATAGAAAGTTTGAAAAATTGATGTTTCTAGGAGTTAAAAGGTTGTTTGGTTATTGTCTCAAATGTACTAATTTGTAAGGTAGTATATCAGGACCGATTATTTTTCAGAGATGGGCAATTTAGTTGGCCTCTCTCTGTATATGCTTATATAAATTTCTGAATTTTGGCAATTGGGAGATATAGAAAGGTCTAAATGAAAGAAATGGCTAAGTATATATATGAATTGACAGTAACTTTGTTTTCTGTACAGCTCTTGGTACTCAAATACGTACAAAACAAAGATGTTTTTATGAGATATCATAAAGCTCATTTGACACGGCGTCTTATATTGGACATTTCTGCTGATAGTGAAATTGAGGAGAATATGGTAGAGTGGCTAAGAGTAAGTAATTTTTTGTTAATATTTGGTCGTCTTAATATAGCACATGGTTCTTACGTGTGGTTACGTGATACATTTTGGTGTGATATCTTTAATGTCAGAGAAATAGGGAACATTTTATAAGCATGTAACACCAATTATATAAAAAATGTGGTATATAATAAAGTATTTTTTTAAATAAAGACTTTTAGTGAAGTATCTTCACTCTCATTTGGACTGACCTTATTAAATAATGCTATAGGACAAATCATTTCATTTTTAAGGTGTTTTCTGTACTAAATACTTAACTATAGATATGTCTGTAAATAAATACTTCTGTATAGCAAAAAGAACCAATAGGTAAATAATGATGGCTTATTTAGGGTAATCATTGCTAATTGTGACTAAATTCCCCTCTCAAAATGTATCATCTGTTCCTTTCAGTTCATTTTAATGGAATTTGAGTTACATTAAAATGTTTTTTATTTTTATGTATGGTATTATATATTGTATTATTAGCTTAATATCTAATAAAATTGTATATAAGAATTATATGCATTTTTATATGTGAGGGGGTACCAAATAAAAAACGGAATTTATTTATTAAAAATTGTGTATTTATTCTTACATGTTTAAACTTTAGTCACCTTCAGTGTACTTTCCGTTTGATGTAGTACTTTCCACTGCTCAAAACAGTTACTGAATCGACAGTTTTGATGCCTTTTAGTGCTTCCGCCATTTTTGGTTCACCTCTTCCACATTTGGCAAAACATTTCCCTTTGAGGACTTCAACCAGGGAAACAAAAAAAAGTCACTCAGGCGAGATCATGAATCAGGAGGGTGGGGCACGGAGGTTGTGCTGTTTTTGGTCAAAAACTGCTGAACGCTTTCTTCAGCAGCTTCAGGGGTGTGGACAGGTGCACTCGTAAATCACCCATCATTAAATGAGCAAATATATTTAGAGTCTTCAACAAAATTTACTGAAGCCAAAGGCAGCCTCTCACAACAGTGCCAGCTGTTACAGATGGTTTGCACTGATACAGACGGGTTCCTAGAACACTCACCTAACAGAGGAAGCCTGTACTACAAGGGGCCCGCCCTCCAGAAGATAATTAAGGTTTTATTGGGGTCCCTCCTTGTATGTTTTTCATTTATGTATATATATTTCAAATTACAGGTTTGCAGAGAGCCCTGCTTTGTAGTATGGGATAGTAAAACTTATGCAAACTGATACTGGGCAATGTGATCTTAATATTAACAATCAGTAGAAATAATTATTGTTTTGTGACTGATTTCAGAAATTTTTGTCAAAACATTAAAAACTCACAAATATGTAGGAAAAAGGAAAAATTAACAAAATTAATATATTCATAGTACACCATAATTCAAAACATAAATACTTTCAAAGTTAAAGTGTTTTGTTTCTTTATGAAAAACCTTGAGTAGTTAGGGAAATATTTGCAATTCATTCATCTGACATTATATCAAAAATATATAAAAACTTACAATTTAACAGTAAAAAGACAACTCAATTAAAACACACAGGATTAGAATAGACCTTTCTTCACAGAAAGTATACACATGGCCAGTAAGTTTATACAGAGATTCTCAATATCATCACTCGTTATGGAAACACAAATCAGAGCCACATGACATACCACTTTACTCCACTAGAATAGCTAAAAATTTAAAAGGAAGAAGAGAAGAAGTGAGGAAGAAGAGAAATTTGGAATCCTTATGCATTGCTAGTGAGAGTATAAAATGATGCAGCCACTTTGGAAAACTGTTTGGTAGTTCCCCAAAAAGTTAAACATGGAGTTGACCTAGCAATTCTACTCTTAGGTAGTTATGTTGAAGAGAAATAAAAATATAACCACACAAAAACTTGTATGTGAATGTTCCTAGCAGCATTATTCATAATCGCCAAAAACTTCCCAAAATGTCAATCAGGTGGTGAATAATAAAATGTGGTATGTTCATAAAATGGACTATTATTTGGTAATAAAAAGAAATAAGTATTAATACAAGCTACACCATGGATGAACTTTGACAACATTATGCTAACTGGAAAGTCAGTCACAAAAGAGCACGTGCTGTGTGATTCCACTAATACAAAATGTTCAAAATAGCCAGCTCCATACAGACAGAAAGTACACTAGTGGTTTCCTGGAGCTAGAGGAAAGGAAAATGGGGAGAGACTGCTAATAAGAATGGATTTGCTTTTTGGGATGATGAAAATATTCTAAAATTAGATAGTGGTGATGATTGCATAAATCTATAAATGCTATACAAAAATCCAGTTAATTGTACACATTAAAAGCGTGAATTTTGTGGTAGATAATTATATCTCTGTAACATTGTTATTAAAATGAAGATTGGCAAGAATATGCCTTTTTATCATGTAATTTCCAGTACAGAGTGAGCATCTTTGTATGCCTTGGAGAGTTATCATACTCTCTATAAGTTTGGATCCACTTCCAGCATTTTGCCTTTTTGGGTTTTCAATGTTGTGAAATTTTTTGCTGGTGTCACTTCCTCTGGCACATCTTATTTTTTGTCACTACAGCTTTTCTCATTTATGTTGGTAATTTACCTTCACAAAGTTTCTATGCCCCTGCATATTTAGAGTCTTCAACATTGGCAGTATCAACATTACATCCCAGTCAGTTCTTTCTTCATAACTCCATTTATGTTTTATTTTATTTTCATTTCCAGCATTATTTTCATTTCATTGTTATACTTTTATCATCTTTGTTGGTGAGCTACCTCTTTTGATTATCCCTTTTTGTAAATGTTATGTGGATTTATTATTGGTAAACAGGGATGCAACAAAACTACATGTTTTGCGGTCTGTGGGTGAACTGAAAAATGATTAACAGATTTCAAAAGAAGTATTGTGATTGGTCACTGATATGGCGTGCTCTGTTATTTGTGTAGTGATTTGCAGATTGAGGAGCTAGAAGTGAAGTTTGTACTTTATGCATTATTCATATTTAACATACCATAGTAACTGAACGTGGACTGTGTTGTTAGGAGACTAATGTTATTTATCTATACTGTAGTAACTCAAATTTGTACATATTGGAATTGTGCAAAGAAAGCCATATTGTCTGTATTATCCTATTTAATTTCTAAGAATAAAATTTAGTAGGTATTAGACTATAAACATTGTAGTAAATAAGAGGAAGAATTTTATTTCAAAGGATCTAACATATATTAACATATTTTAGCATCTAAAGATGTAGTAAAACATCTAAGTTTAAAGCATCTTAGTTTTCCATTTAAAATTTTTCTAGTAATATATCAAATTATATAGTATTTATTATCTCTTCTGTCTTTGGTTTTCATAGGAAGTTGGTATGCCAGCAGATTATGTGAACAAGCTTGCTAGAATGTTTCAGGACATTAAAGTGTCTGAAGATTTGAACCAAGCTTTTAAGGAAATGCACAAGAATAATAAATTGGCTTTACCAGGTATTATTTTATAATTTATGTATATGTTACACATATTTTTTTTAAACATTTTTAAAAAAGATATATTTGTGTGGTAAATTAAAAATAAACCTTGGATCCTGGCTGGTGTGGCTCAGTGGATTGAATGCCAGCCTGCGAACCAAAGAGTTGGTTGCCTGTTCGATTCTCAATCAGAGCACATGCCTGGTTTGCAGGCCAGGTCCCCAGTTGGGGGCGCCTGATAGTCAACCACACATTAATGTTTCTCTCCCTCTCTTTCTCCCTCCTTTCCCCTTCTCTAAAAATAAGTAATAAAATCTTTAAAAATAAATAAACATTGGCAGTAATAAATGCAAAGATGTTGCAAATACCACATTCCTTGAAGACTTTCTGCAAAACAGAATTTAGATTTGCTAATCCTTATTTTGGAAACAAAAGTATATACTTGTAACAAAATCTTTAGTTTTGTTTATTTTTCACCAAGGCTTCCCTTGTATTTATGTACATGTTTATTCATTTTGAATTTTATTCATTGTCGAGATTGACTTTATATTTTTCTGATACTCATGCCTGTAGCTGATTCAGTTAATATAAAAATTTTGAATGCTGGTGCCTGGTCAAGAAGCTCTGAGAAAGTCTTTGTCTCACTTCCTACTGAACTGGAAGATTTGATACCTGAAGTAGAAGAATTCTATAAAAAAAATCACAGTGGCAGAAAATTACATTGGCATCATCTCATGTCAAATGGAATTGTAAGTAGATAATGTGTTAGTTAAGATATTGGTGTGGCTGAAAGTAGCAGGGCTTCAAGTCAGAGTTTCTTAAACAAGATAGATTTGCTTCTCGCACATGTAAAACTTTGAGCAGGAATAATGGATCTCTCCTATGAACTTGTTGGGGACATAAGTTTCTGGTTATTGCACCATCCTTAAGGTATTCAATATGATCCTTACTATGTCTTTCAGCACAACAGAAAGGTGAGGATATACGTTGGTTAAAGGGCCACTTATAGAAGTTCCCTATCATTTCTTCTTGTAACCCCTTGACCAGAACTCAGTCACATTTTGTTCAAGGGAAAGTTGGGAAATAAGCCTTCATTCTGGACGGTTCTTGAGGTCTGCTAAAAATGTTCATACCATCTAAGGAATTGATGGATGTTGGAAGACAACTACCAGTCTTTTCCATATATAACCTTATGTAAGAGATATTTCAGTAGATAGATGGTAATCATTATGAAAAAGATTCTTATTTTTAAAAATTTTATCTATTATAGATAACATTTAAGAATGAAGTAGGTCAATATGATTTGGAGGTAACAACGTTTCAGCTGGCTGTGTTGTTTGCATGGAACCAAAGACCCAGAGAGAAAATCAGCTTTGAAAATCTAAAACTTGCAACTGAACTCCCTGATGCTGAACTTAGAAGGACTTTATGGGTTTGTTTGTTTTTTTATTTTAAAATATCCTGTCACATAGCAGAAAATATGTTGGCTTGCTTGTAATAAATTTATGAACTCGTAACACTCTCAAATCAATTTTGACCAAAAATATACACTAATGGGGTATTTATGGACAAAAATAAATTTAAATAAGTTACTGAAGTGGACAAAGGCAAAAAATAAAAAACAAAAGATTGAGCTGGTAGTTAAATATTACGTGTGAAGAGTATGACAAAAGATTTCATAATGAGAATGTGTTAAAGATTTTATGATGACCACAGATTTAAGAATTCGATAACTTTGGCCCTGGCCAGCTACCTTAGTTAGAGCATTACCCTGATGTGCCAAGGTGGTGGGTTGGATCCCCATTTAGGACACATAGAAGAATCAGCCAGTGAATACATAAATATGTGGAACAATAAATTTCTCTCTCTAGCTCTCTCTTCCCCCACCACCCATTTAAAATCAATTTAAAAAATTAGACAACTTTGGTCCTTTTGTGGGCTTATAAAATGTACTCATTAGCCTCCTGCTCGAAACTACATTTTATCCTACTCCATAGACCTCTTAAAAGTAATAAATTATTACCTAGAGAGAAACAGCTGGTATATAACTGGCAAGTGATGTTTGTTGTTGGTCATATATGACCAATCTCTCGTTTCTTATTGTAAAGAGAACATTTATTGCTTCCTCATAACCAACTCCTCATTCTCCCTGTCCTCATTATGCATTTACATTATTATATTAATGGAAGTACCAAATAAAAGTTTGAATTGTGAATTTGTACTTAGAATGCTTTCTCACAGCTATTAGTTATATCGAAGAATTGATCTTAGTATTTAATGCTGTTAATGGATGCTAATTGTTTTCTCTTTATTTTTTATAGTCTTTAGTAGCTTTCCCAAAGCTCAAACGCCAAGTTTTATTGTATGAACCTCAAGTCACCTCACCCAAAGACTTTACAGAAGGTACCCTCTTCTCAGTGAACCAGGAATTCAGTTTAATGTAAGGTTTATATTGGTTGATGTAAAATAAAAACACCCTGTTTGAATTTTAGTGCTTTGTTTTTAACAAAGTAATTAGTTTCCTTATGTGATATTTAAAACATATCTGTATACTCTCACTATTTTAGATCAGCAATTTTCTACCTTTTTCTTCTTATGGCACACATAAATTAATTACTAAAATTCTACGGCACACCAAGAACTACAATATTTTGCCCGTCTGACAAAAAATAAATATAATTTTGCTTCATTCACACTGGACAGCTATTGTTGTGTTGGCTGTTGTCACAGTCTAAGGGAAAAGAGATCAGTGCCCTTGACTAAATAGATTTTGCATGTTTTAAAAATTCCTGTGGCTCACTGGTTGAAAATTGCTGCTCTATATTTACGCCATTTAGTTGTTTATTACACATTAATGAGCAAGAGATGCTTACTTCTTTACATGTTTTTCATGGATACATTTTGGTGTCTGACATTATACTGTATTGCTTTTCATCTTTAAAGTAACCGTCCTTTCACATTTAAAAGCAGCTTTATCCCCACAAAGCTTTTTTTCCCCTTAAGATCCAATAAGAAGATAATGCTGAATTACAAGCTATATACCTTCAATTATCTAATTGCTTTCATGGCAATGTAAATTATATTAACTTTGTTAATAAAGGCCCATATTTTATTAATTGGGCCTTTATTGTGTTTAAGGGAAGTCACAGTGTTCATTTTAAATAAAGCTATATATGTTGATTATTTGTTACTTTTCCTTTAAACAACTCTGTATATTAATCTTTTTAATATTTCTAACTCTTCTCTCAGATGTCGCTGTAAGTATGATGTTTACAAGCCTCTCTTTGTAAAATATTTGATTCAATATTTTTTATAGAAAAAATGCAAAAGTTCAGAAGAGGGGTAAAATCAACCTGATTGGACGCCTGCAGCTCACTACAGAAAGAATGAGAGAAGAAGAGAATGAAGGAATAGTTCAACTACGAATACTAAGAACCCAGGTTTGTAATGTTAAGACACAATGTCTACATTTTGAAAAACATTGGCCATTTTGTTGTTGTTTAAATTTTCAACATTTTTTTGAATTTAAAAGCATGTAGGCATACAAACTTTTTGTAAAGTAGAGCTACTTTTCATTTTACTAGAATTTAAAAATTGTATTGATGACGTTCTCTTAGCTGCAAAAGAGGTGTCTGTATGGCTTTGTGGACTCTGCTAGATTCTCTTGGTTGGGAATACCTTGATTTTAGTTTATATTTTCATTTGACCATACCTGATTAAATGTATCTCAGCAACAAATTCAGTTTTAGGATTGATACATTTAAATTTTTATTTAACTTCTTATTCCATTTTAATATGAAATTGGGAAACATTTTAAATCTAGGATTATGATACCTTCTAAACATGATAATAAATACCTATTGTAAGCTAATATACGATCATTTTAACTTTAGAAATAGTCTATTAAAACCATGTGTCCCACTTTTACAACTTTTACTTAGTATTGTTTGAAACTACTGGCCAATATACTAAAATACAAAACAAGTAACAGGAAATCGTTAAATTTTTTTTATTACTTAGAGATAATATAATATTATAAAAGAACAAAGATGAATAAATAAAAATTGCATTTCTGTTTATCAGTGAACAAATTTTAAAACTTAAGAGGAAAATAAGACACCATAAAATTCATGGGCATTAAAAAGATTTTATTTATTTTTTATTTTTTTAATTTATTGATTTGAGAGAGAGAGAGAAACATTGATTTGTTTTTCCACTTATTTATACTTTCATTGGTTGATTCTTGTGTGTGCCCTGACCAGTAATCAAACCTGCAACCTTGGTGTATCAGGATGATGCTCTAAGCAAGCCACCTCTCCAGGGTACATAAGCATTTCTTTAAAAAGTAGTATGTAGGACTTTTTGTGAAGAGGGTGGCTCTTTACTGATTGAGTCAAAAGATTTGAGTAAATAGATCATGCTCATTTTCTTCTAAAATTTCTAGTGAGATGAAATTTATATAAGAAAGAATACTCATTTCAAGGTGTAGTTTTCAATGAGCTTTTACAAATGTATGTACCTTTGTGATCAGCACTTCATTAAGATACAGAACATTCCTATCACGTCAGCAATTTCCCCATGTCTCCCATCCAGCCAGTGTACCACCTTCCAACCCACTTCATTGCTATCACCATTGCTAGTTTTGCCTGTTACAGGTCTTCATATAAATTGAATCGTGTATGAACCCTTTGTTTCTAGCTTCTTTTGCCCAACATGAAATACTGTGTTCTTTATTTGTACTTCTTTAATTAATTTGAGAGAGAGAGAAACATTGATTTGTTCCACATATTTATGCACTCTTTGATTGAATCTTCTATGTGCCTGACCAGGCATACCTGCAATATTGGTGTATCCAGATGATGCTCTAACTAACTAAACTACCCAGCCAGGGCGAAATGCCATATTCTTTCATGATAAGGCTGAATAACTTAATGAGTCAATTTTTTCCATATAAATATCAAGTTTACTGAATTCATATAAAAATTCAACTAGGAATATTTTTGGACTTTTACATATTCTCAGTTTTATCAGAAAGAATAAATGTGATTGAAAACTTTTAAGAGAATAATAAAGTGATGGTGATTGAACTGCCTTGCTAAATATTAAAACATATTAAAATATCTACAAAAATAAAGACTATCCTTTCATGGGTCATTTCTATAGCTTGTTACTAGAGAAGTTTCTCTAAACGTGTAAAATATCTACAAAAATATAACAATATGACAGGCAGATTAATTGATTAAAAACCCCTCAGTATTAAACCTCCTATATAAGTATAGACAAACTTTACAATAAAAAAAGTAATTTCTATGGTGAGTTTAAAGGGAATGGATTATTCAATAAGAGGCTTTAGGAAATTATACTTTTTAGAGGAAAACTCAGGGTATATTCCTTGTTTATATACCAGGATAAATTTCAGGTGGATTTGAGTTGAGATATGTAATGGGAATGGCAGGTGTAGTCATATAATACTATAAGGTGTGCAGAGAAACTGAAGAGTTTTTGTTTTGTCTTACTCTGACCCATAGCTATGCCCAATCTAGGAATCCAAGCTATTCCTTTATGTGGTGGTGAGACTTTCTTATTTCTCCCTGATCCCATACCACCCATCCTCATTATTTACCCTTTTCCCAGATGGCATCTGAATGTACTGAGGTTTAGAAGAATTCATTTGAGCTTGTAGTAACAATAAAGGGACTGTCATGTTTATAAGCGCTGACAGTATCCTGGGTTCTTGCTATGGAGTGCTTTATTTGTCACCTATGGGAATTTAACTTTCTGTTCCTATCTACTGCTGATGTCTGTAGCAGATGAACTATGATGTACTTTTTCCAGTTGGTAAGGACCAAATAGCCACTTCACTGCTCTCACCTGTCCTATGCTCTCACTGAGCTGAGCTCTGTGAGACTATGCCACCACATCTTCTTTGTGGCCCCTTGGTGTATGTCACACATTGTCATTATCATCTGCTGTTGCAGGATCACCCTCTCCTGCCACTAAAGGCCCTATGGTAGGTTTATTAGCTTTAAATTCCATCTGTGTCATGTGGAAACTGAGAGAGATTCAAAAGTGCAAATTATTTTCATCATAACATTCTACTCTTCAAGTGACCTCCAGACTAGTAAATGGGGACCAGAGCCCAAGCCCCCATGCTTTCTGTGTTTCTCTGGACTTCTTTAACACAACCACCATCTTCTCTACCAAAACTGGAAGGGAGAAGTTGGAACATTTACAATTGTTCCTCTTCTCCTCCTTGGTCCCTATAATCCTCAAGTGCTTCGAAGGGCAGACTTTCCCTCTCTCTTCTTTCTTTCATTTTTTAAAAAATAATCGTTATTTATTTTTAAAATTTTTTTATTGTTCAAATACATTTGTCTCCATTTTCGTGCCACCACTTTGCCCTGCCCCACCCGCCCCCACCTCCCTCCCGCAACCCTTCCCCACCTCGGCTTTGTCCCTGGGTCCTTTATACATGGTCCTTGACTGGACACAAACCCCTGTGATCAAGAGCCTGGCGTCTGGATGTCCTGGAAATGGGAAGAATTCACCGGGTCTCCTAGTAACAGCGTAGGAATTAAAGAAACCATCAAGAGAAACATTGATAACATTAACTTAGATGAAAATGCTTACTCCTGAAGAAACTGAAAACATTCAATGAATGAGTATAAATTTAAGATAATATTTATAACATAAGTTATTAACCTGACAAATATATAAAGACTAGTAATCACCGATTTTTTATAACAGATACCAGCTAGTTTCTACTATTACAGACAGGAATAACTGAATTACAAGGGGAAAATTATGTGGAAGGGGTTTGTCGTATCTTAATTGATTTTTAACACAATATCAGATGATATACATATTGTTTTCACAGGTAAGATAAATTTTTTAAATGTATATTGTGGAAAAAACAATGAAGGGACTTGGTGAAAACATTAGGCGTGGTTTTCTTTCAGCAGAGGTGTTATAGATAATTTTGCTTTTCCTCATTTTTCAAAATCTCTCTAATCAGATTTTTTTTACGGTGGGTGAAAAAAGATACTTGTTAAGTAAAAGATGCTGGTCTCAATATTAATCTGTTGCAGCAACTTTCAACCTTTTTCATCTCATGATACACATAATCTATTTACTAAAATTCTACAGCACTCCAGAAAAATATATTTCAGGCCAATCTGTCAAAAAATAGGTATAATTTTTTATTGATTTACTAATAGTAATAGTAATTACCAATGCTTTTTTTTTTTTCCAAAGTGACTTTTTAAAAACTCAAGTGCCTATACTTCTATATAAGGATTTCTGGTACCAAGAATTAGCCAATCAGACTCAACCTTATTATGTGACATGACCAATAAAATATAACTCTATCAGATGACCTATATATTTATAATTCAAGACAGAGCATTCACACCAGACTGCTGCTGTTGTGTTGGCCATTGTCATATTTTTTATTTGTCAGTATAAGGAAAAAGGGGTCATTGCGCCTGCCTAACAGTCAGGTATTTGCACATTTTAAAAATTCTTGTCGCTCACTGCAGCACACCGGTTGAAAATCGCTGTCTTAGTGATTGCTAATCATTTGGATAGATGTTGGATAGGAAATGAAATACATCAAAAGTCATTTTTTGTTTTGTTTTACTTAAAACAATTTCAAATATTAATTCTCTTTCATTTTTATTTTTTGTTTTAGGAAGCTATCATACAAATAATGAAGATGAGGAAGAAAATTAGTAATGCTCAGCTGCAGACTGAATTAGTAGAAATTTTGAAAAATATGTTCTTGCCACAAAAGAAAATGATAAAAGAGCAAATAGAATGGCTAATAGAGCACAAATACATCAGAAGAGACGAATCTGATATCAACACTTTCATATATATGGCATAATTTGAATATCATGGACAATATTAAGAACCCAAATTTTGGAGTGCTTGGGCAGAAAGTTGTAACAGTTTGTGCTGGGGGAAGGTTTATTTGGACTTTGATTACATAAATATTAAAATCTCTGCCTTACCTAACAAAACAACTATATTTTGCCAATCACATTAGTTAGCATGATGGCATTCCCTTCATGTTACACACTTTAACAGCATGCTGTTTTGTGGAGACACTTGCATTCATGGAGAGCCCTTTATGAACTTTTTAAAAGGAAATTTGACTTATACCCACTAGAAGAAATACAGTTGGGAAGGGTGAGGGTGGGGTTCTCATTGCTTTTTTTTTTTTCCTCCTTTTTCCCCGTTCTCTCAAAAATGTACTTGCACAAGGAAGGATCTTCACATGTTTGTGCACTGAAAAATGCTGTTATGTTTTGTTTTTACAATGCAATTAAAACTAGAAATAGCACTCTTGGTTTCTTTTGATCAGAAGAGTGAGATGGTCTGCCCAACATTGGGAGAGGGCAGACGTAGGTGAGAAGATACATATTTAATAAGTATCAAGTTAGTTGTTCAAACACTGCTTCAGTATAATAACTGGATTTTAATGATGACCTAAAAATGGTATTAAATTTTTCCAATGTACAGATACTGGCTTTCTTTAATCAGGAGACTGTTTTAGTTGTTTGTTGTTAAATGATAAGGAGTATTTTTTATCTTACATGGTTGGAGAGCTTGTTTTGAAAAATTGACACTTATATTACTTGTTTCTTCAATTGTTTTTAAAAAATGTATGGAGATAAGTGGGTCATTTTGATTGCAGTCAAAATAGCAAAATTAGGTGTACTTACTAATACACTACATATATATATTAAAAACAAATGTTACATATATGTAATATATAGGTATAATGTATAGGTATACCTATATATTATATATATACCTACTATTTGTTATGGCATATTCAAATGTATTGAAAAGAAGGCAGAAATCTGCTCCCCTATAATACAGCTATGTAACTGATCCCTTAATTTGTAGCATAGAAATATTTTGGTATTTTAAAGTCTCTTGATTAGGGATTTGTAGCCTCAGGTTTCTGGAAAGGAAGACATTCTCTTTGTAAAAGTAATAAGTATTAGTCATTTAGGATGAGCAAAGCCACAACATAGGTACAGACCTGAAAAGCATAAGCAGAATTGTTACGATCTTAATATGAGCGGTAAACTTGCCAAATATATGTACATATATATTTATATATTTTAAAAATAAACATTTTTAAAATGTTCAGGAGGCAACTCTTACCTTGTTCCTTTTAGTCAGTCCAAAGTAGCAACTTGTTAGTTGCTGGTAATGGAATATCCAGAGTAGTAAAGATTTTCAGATTTAACAACATGCACAACTTAAAAGAGAAAAAACTTATTCCCCATTGGGAAGGTATGGTGCAACATGGATTTTTATTCATTATGGTACACATTTCAAGTTTTATTCGATCTTATTATGTATCTTGTTTGATAGTGAGTAAAATTTTTAACGTATGGTTTTGGAGTGAGTAGGAAATGGAGTGCCGGAGCACTGCAGAGAACCGCAGCGCAGCCAGCGTTGCCGCCGGGAGCTCTCAGGAGGGCTTTGTGGGACCTGCCCCCCAGGCCCAGGAGGCTTTGTGAGCTCCCTAGTGAAAGGAAGGAAAACAAACATAAAACACTTACGGTTTTGCTGGTTATAGTGAAATGCCTGCTCTGAAACTGATAGGAAATTGGAATTTTGTTTCTAATTTAAAATCTTACACTTGAGTTCTAAGGTAGCATATGTAAATTATTAGACCAAGTATATTGTGAAGAATCAAATTAATGTGCACCTTTTTCTCTAATTAAATGACTGCTAACGATGGAGAAATTTTTTACAAATTTTAATAACTGCGGTCCTCAGGCTTAACAAATAGTTTGCTATTGGCATATTTGCTTATCCAGTACAAGAATGCCAAAGGAAGAAAGACTGGAAGGAAATATTACAGGCCATTTTTTAAAGTTTAAGATTTGTTGTTTTAAATCATAATTATTCTCAGAACTTTTGTGGAATTTCTAAAAAAAGAAACTTAAGAGTGAAAGCCATGATGTTTTGATTTAATAAAGGCAAATTTAATGCAAAAGTGGGTAACTCATAGCAAACTTTTCTATTAAATTTTATAAATTTTTAAGTAGCTAATTATGTCCTAATTGTATTTTGGGGAACATAACAGCAGTAAATACTGTAGACTCACAGTTTTCGTAATTTTTTTTGTTGTATACACAGACCTTTAATTACTTTTTGGTGTATATGAAAACCATTCAGTTGACAAGGTGCCTATACCATTATTGAATTTTCTTTAAATATGTTTGATGATAGTATTGCTAATTTAAATAAAAAGAATCTGAAAAAACAAACCTTACCAGCAATTTGCTAAAGACAGAACTTCACCATGAGTATTCTTTATCTGGTTCCTTTTATATAATGTGCACTTAAAATTAGTGCTATCTGAGCAGGAATTAAACCTGACATAGTTAAGGGGGGGAAATATATACCTTTTTTTCCCCTCACGAGTAGTGTGGCAATAGGACTCTTCGCAGGTTAATTTAAGCTTCGAACATTTGTCTTCTAATTTAAAGATGGAGTCATCTCAGAAATGTTAACCTTTATTGCCATCTCATTGCCAGAGTAAATAGACATGAAAATAAATTTACAAAGTAAAAATATAGAACAGTTTTAATGCTTACATTGGAATAAATTTTAGACCATTACAGTTCCAATGATTTAATGAGGATCTTGAAATAAATTCTAAAGTCTTCCATTTTTTACATTTATTGGAGGGTCTCTGCATTCTGTCAACCTGTTTGTTTAAGTCTCTTACCTTTACTTTATGCATAAATGTCAAAATCCAAAAAATGAAATGTTAGCTTTTTTGTTTTTATTTCCTATTAAATTTAATACAAAATATGACTGGGATAGTTTAAAAGCATTATGTATTATTTGCAGTAGGATTTCATTAGCCCTCAAAGGGCAAATTTTTAAAATTCAATTTGGGTGAAAGATTTGCTAGTTTTCCAGAAAGGTTTGCTATCTTAAACTCAAGGTGGTTTTTCTATTTTCATGTAAATGACTGGAATGCTATCTTATAAACTTTCCCAAGGTCATGTTTGTGAGTTAAACATTACACAAGAGCTTTCCCGTCATCTACACTGTATACGCCTTCTGGAGTGTTGAACAAATTTGAGTTCCTAAGTTGTAATCTATCCTCGGATGGTATTACGATTTTGAATGTGCGCCACTACATACTGAGATGATAACGCTGTACAATTTTAAATAGTAGCAGTTTCTGTATGCAGTAGGCTGAAATATTTTGATGAACTGCTTAATTTTTGAATTTTATTTTTAAGTTGTATAATTTATTTTCTTGCAAAATAAAAATGTAATATAAAAGCTTCCACCTACCCAGAATATGTTGATGTTCTACTGTAAAAGTTTCTAAGAGTTTAAAATTTTTATAATAGGTATATTTATATATTTTATGGCAAAATAGTAAATCTCAGCCAGCCTTACGAATCAGAAACATGAAAAGTAACCCATTTATTTCTTTTAGATTTCCAAGTCTAGTTCAAAATGAAAGCTACCAGGAAATGTGGCTTTTTCCATTGATTTCAGCATATGCCTGTCATGCCTGGAAGAGGTCAAAAATTCTAAACCTGAAAGTGATTAATGCATTCATCAATTTAGATAGGCCTTATCATAACCAAAATTTAAATTTCATATTAGATGAAAGTTAAAGTATTCTATGTTTGGTATATATTTGAAAACTTGGGAAATATTTAAGTTTTGAATCTAGAGATAGTTTTGTAATAAGGTTATGAAAACACACCATGTCTTTGTCATTGGCTACTATAACCGAGTATAAAGACTTGGAGCTTACAGGAAACAGAAATTTATTTCTTACAGTTCTGGAGGCTGGAATTCAAAGAACAGGGAGCTAGCATGGATGATTCTGATAAGCAGCCTCTTCTTCCAGGTTGCAAACTGCTGCCAGGAAGAGGACTTAGAATGCTCTCTGAGTCTCTCTTTTAAATTTATTGGTTTATTGATTTTAAGGAGAGAGGAACATCAATTTGTTGTTCCATTGGTTAATGCATTCATTGGTTGGTTGGTGTATGTGCCCTGACTGGGGATCAGACCTGCAATCTTGATGTATGGGAACCACTGAGCTACCCCTCCAGGCCTCTCTGAGTCTCTTTTATAAAGGCACTAATCCCATTCACGAGGACCCAATTGCTGTGACCTAATTCCCTTCCAAAGCAAAGCCCCCATCCCCCTCCCAAGAACAGCACATGGGATTAGTTTTCAACATAAGACTTTCGGGGAGAGACAGGCAATCCACAGCACTTCATAATAACACTCAGCTAAACCTTGGACTTTAACTGGGATTGTGTGTGTGTGGGCAGTGGAGGGAATTGACTTTAAAAAAGATAGAAAAGTATGATGCCAGTATAAAATTCATCAGAACCGAGATTTACCATTAAGCATAAACTTCTGGGCCCTTTACTTGCACAGGCCCTAGGAATTCTGTGTTTGTAATTTATATTTTTCTCAGTCCCCAAAATATCAAAAGGTGGATCCAGTCCTGCTAAAATTCAATGCAAAAAGAAACCTGTCTGGCGCATAATAGTAGACACTCAGTTGTCAGATCAGGGGAATAAGAGTATGTGTGCTTGAGAAAACAGTACAGAGTTCGATGTTTTAAGTTTTAAATGGGGAAACTTTACTTTGTACTTGCCTGCTTCTAGGCTATAAAATGCAGACTTTGTATGTAACATAAGTGCTTAGACCAATGGACAGCCTGGAACAGGGGTCTTAAACTGGTGAGGAATTGTAGACTTAGGAGCATCTGATTTGAGAAAAAAGTATATAAAGATATAAACAATTCTGTGTATAAATTTTAAGTGTTACAACACCCAAGATTAAAAAATATTTTAGAGTAAGGAAAGAGAGTAGCAATTTGGTATGTGAATTGGTAATGACCTAATGTCACAAACTCTGATCCAAACTTGAATTTTTGGCTGTTTATCTAAATAATAACAGGAAACTTCCCTGGGTGTGTTGGGGTTTTGCTAATTTCATTTAGTGATAAATGCAGTATGTCCTTTATTGTACTGTGGTTACTCAGCAGACTGATACTACTTAAGATGTCTCTTCCACAGTGGTTAATGGTTTAATGTTAGTGATGGGAACCAGGAAGGTGAAGTTTGAGGAAAGGGCCAGCTTTGCAATGAGCTTGATTTGAGAATTAAGAGTACTTGTTAAGAGACCATAATCACCTTGCCTATAAAAAACCATGGGGCCCCCTGACCGGTGTGGCTCAGTGGGTTGGGCGTTGTCCCCCAGAGGGAAAGATCACCTGGTCATTCCCAGCCAAGGCACATGCCTGCATTGCAGGCCATCCCCAGTTGAGGCGCGAGCAGGAGGATCGACGTTTCTCTCACACAGCGATGTTTCTGTTTTCTCCTGCCCTTCTCTAAAAATCAATCTTTTAAAAAGACAGAAAGAAGGAAAGAGGGGGATTTAGGAATGAATACCTCTTTACAATGTTCTTTTCCTGTGACATTTTTTTCTTCTACTCTATATTAGCCCCCCATTCTCAGCAGAAGACTTTGCTTAGAGAAAACAAGCAGAAAAGAAAAAACAAGGCCTTTGGCATGAATTTTCATAGCTTGCAATCTCTCCACCTCTAAACTTTACTTCTAACAGTATCTTTCACCTGCCTCCCTGCCTCAGAGGGAAGAGATACCTCAGTTCTTACTGAAGACCAACTATTTTCTGTTTTCACTGAATCCCTTCTGCCTCCCATGTTTTATTCTAAAAATATCTACATTTCCTGTATCTTTCAGGCACACTTCTTTTTGTTATTTCCTGCTTAACCTACAGCAGGGGTTCTCAAAAGTTTTGATGTACAGACCAGCAGCATTATCATCACTTGAGAACTTGTTGGAAATAAAAGGTCTTGAGCCCCATCGCAGGCCTACTGATTCAAAATTCTTCAGGTGGGGCTCAGCAATCTGAATTGTAATAACCCCTCCAGGTGATGCCAACACACACTGGTTTACAAACATAATCAAGTATCCACCATCCTTAAAAAAATTCCTTCCTCCACCCCGATCAAGCTATGTATGACCTTGTTTTCCCCCTTCCTCTACTCTTTGCTCAACATCTTAAAAGTAGTCCACATCTGTCTCTATTTCTTCTGCTTGGTACTCATGGGTTTATGTTCCCACTGGTCTGTTTCCTAAGGTCATCAGTGACCTACATCCCTGTTGCTTACAAGTTTATTTTCAGTCTTCCTCTTACTTGATCTCCTTGCATGATTTGCACGTTGGACACTCCTAGTTACTGACTTTGTTTCATCTTTTAGCTTTGAAGATAGCATTCACTCCTGCTCTCACACTTCTCTCTCAGCTTTCTCTTATTGTCTCATTTTTCTCACTGCTCACCTCAGGATTTCTTCTCGGTTCTCTACTGTTGCTGAGCTGCAGGCTCTTCCTGGGTGATTTCATACTCTTCTCTGGCTTGAATCACTGTCTGCATGTTGATCCTTCAGACTGTCTCCAGCCCAGCTTTCCCTCCTAAGATCAAGATGTGTTTCCAGAAATCTCTTGAATGTCTCCTTTTTCACAAACTTGCTCCACTTAACAACTATCGCAGTCTCCCAGGTTAGGACTTTTTATGTAATCTCTTACTCCCATCCCCACACCATACTGTAATTCCACCTCTGTATTACTTCTAGAATCTGACCTTTGTTTATCTTCTACTGTGTTCACTGAATAAAAAAGAACATTTTGTAGTATGCTTATACCGTCTGAGGTAAGAACCAGGTGCTGCATTGCTTCTTGTCCTGTGTTTTGAAGTAGACTATCTAAAACTACGGAATGGTAAATTGTGGTCAGTAAGAATATATTTGCTTTAAATCTGGCATTTGTGGACCGCTAGCCTATTGGCAATTTTTCTCTTAATTGAGGGAATACCTCAATGTCTGAGGCCTGAGACACCGGATGTGAAATGGATCCCTATGGCAGAGGGATCATTCCAAATCTAAAGCATAAAAGCAGGGAAATGATTTTCATCATTTAAAAATTTCTCACACTTTCTAGTGCAGTTCCTTGCTCAGTTAAGGGCCCACTATTTGTAAAATTGAAATTACAGGCTTGGGAACCACTGTGGATAAAACCATATCCTCTAAAGGTGGAGGAACAGGTAAGAAGGCCAAACATTCTCTGGACAAGTAGGACTTCTGTCTTACAGTCACTAAGAACTCCCTAAGATACCTTCTTTTGTATCTTTGTCTAGATCCCAAGATAACTCATGAAAATTATTTTTAGGAACTGTGTACTGTGGTTTGTGTATCTTCCTATTGTAATTATTTTCTTACTCAGCTACATGGTGTCAAATGATAAAAATAAAACAATTTAGTAACAAGTTTGATGTTCTTTATTCAAGAGCAAACAATCCATGGATTGGAGAAGTACAGCACCTCACAAGCATTCTTCCTAAGGGATTTTGGGCAAGAATGAGTTTTAAAGAGTGTTAGAAGCACAACAACGTGGAAACAGGGAATGATTGGCTAGGAGGTCAGGGATTTCCTTATAAAGCTTGCAGATCAAATAGAGAATAAGGAAAGAGTATTTGACTTGAATTAATTGACTAAGGTTGCATATCTGTCCTTACAACAAGAAAATCAATATAGTTGGGACTGGCTGGCCGGACATACTGTGTTTCTGGTTAAGAGGAGCATTTACAGGGACATAAAAGTTACCTCATTTTCAGTTCGCCAACTTGGCACCCTGGGCAGGAGTGGGCCCACCTTGTGCCTGGAGATTTATTTCCACATTGGGGTACAAACATTTCCATACGCCTAATAAAAATGCCCTCTTCATACTTTGTACTTCCTAGGATTTCAAGGAAGGAGATGTTCTATGGGACATATTCAGTCAATGGAAAACAAGGAAATGGCATGTGTAATTTGACCCAGGATGAGTGTATTAATTTCCTATGTATTGACTGCTATAACAGTGTTTTATCCACAAACTGGGTGGTTAAAACAACAGAGTCTTAGCCCTGACCGATGTGGCTCAGTGGATTGAGTGCTGGCCTGTGAGCCAAAGGGTCACCAGTTCAATTTCCAATGTAGGGCACATGCCTGGGTTGCAGGCCAGGTCCCCAGCCAAGGGCATGCAAAGTGCAACCACACATTAATGTTTCCCTCCCTCTCTTTCGCCCTCCCTTGATCCCTCCCTTCCCCACTCTAAAATATTTTTTTTAAACAGAGATTTACTGTCTCACAGTCTGAAATCCCAGGTGTCAGTAGGATTGGTTCCTTCTGCGGGTTCTAGAGAGAACCTGTTCCTTGTCTCCTGCTTAGCTTCTGGTGGTTGCCAGAA